AATTCATATATATAATAAATAATTTGTACTAAATGTTGACTCCTTTCTTTAAAAGTCTCTAGCAATCTGTTCTCATATTTTAAATATTCATAATAATTTCTATTTGCTAGTTAAGATATTTCCAGATTAGATAAAAAAATATAATTAAAAAGAATATATCTATAGAGAAATTAATGAATACTATTATTTTATTAGGAATTCATTAAAAGTTGATTAAAATACTTTATTGTTGAATAGAACATTTATTTATATTTTAATTTATTTTATAGGAATAAATTGTTTAATTAATATTTTTGAAATTTGAAATTAGTAATGTTTAGATTAAATTTGAATAAGATTTAAATATTCTACTTGACACGTACTATATATTAGCCGATATATAAGTATACACATCTGTTCCTATAATAAATATATTTTAATATATAATACATAGTAATAATTCCGTTATTCTTTTTTTAAGAAATGGCGCCTAATATCTTAATGTTATTTTATTATTTCTTATATATTTACAAAATTATCTTTAAATATGTGAAAAAACAAACAAAAAAAAAACGGTATATAAATGTTAAATATCAAAAATGTAATTTTTAATTTAGTATTAATTTAAAAATTTTTTAATTTATAGTATATATTTTGCAGAAATTTAAAATAATTTTCATTTATTTTATAGACTGATATATGCTATTATTCTCTTCAATTGCCTTATATTAAATTTTATAATTAAAAACGTTTTTGAACTATTTTAAAATTTATAAATAATTTTTTAATTAGATGCAATTTGTTGCTAATTAAATGAATACTATTTTATTCTATATTTGTTAAAATAATAGATATAAAACAATTTCAATGATTTTCAAATCATGTACATAGAATGTATGTATTCTGTGCAAAAAATATATTTCGTTGCCTTTTAAGTAAACCCCATAAGGTGCAATAACTATGTTAGCGCATGACGCAACTCTCCATATACTTTTCGACGGACGGTTAAGGTATGATTTCTAGCTTCTCCAGCGAATTTTTAAGGCCATAATTGAATTGAAATTTATTAATTTCGACGACAAAAACAAGTTTCACTGGACCATATCCGATAAATAAGTTGTTTTATTTATCACATTTCAAATACTTTTTGCTAAAAATATTTAAACAACGATGGTTCATCTGATCGCGGAAAAGTTCTTAATACCATTTAGGATATAAATATATTGAATAATGGAATATTATAAAGTACGGCTTTATGTTTACATAGAATGTATTGCATCAAGTATAAATCAAAGCAAGAATGATATTAAAAAAAATAATTATATTAATTGTAACATTTCATTTTTCTTGAAATAAATTATAAAAAGAAACAGAATATCAAAATAACTTTAAATAAAGTAATAAACTATATATTTTTATATTTTGTAATTATTTAAATTACAAAATAAGCGTTGTGTTTTAATGTATTTAAACAAAAATCCTATAATTTGATAATGATAATGATTTTTTTTTCTGTTCAGTTTTAATATGGTATATCATTTTAATTTCAGATATATGTAGAAATGTAGAATTAAAGAGTGATATTTATATAAAAAATAAAAAATCAAACTATATTTAAATGCACGATCCCACGTTGATTGATGGATTATTTTTTATTAATTTTATATTATTATTAATTGAATGTTATTTTATTTGGTTGTTACTTTTTTTACTTGTATTTAATATACGATTTATATTATACTTGTTCGTGTTTTAACCATGGATGTAATCAAGAGTCTCGCTAGGGTTCAAAATTAAAAAAAGTCATTTAATATCTATACAATTTTATAAAATTGTATATAGGTATGATGTTAAGAAGTTGAATTTAAGAATCTTTAAATTTTTGATTCTTAATAATTAAGACATTTTTGTGTACAAATAATTAGGCGATTGTTACTCAAATTTTTACATAAAAAAAAAATAAGAAAGATATTATTTATGTTAAAATAAGTATACATGCTTTTTTCATATAACTTAATAAAAAACAAAAAGAATAAAAATATAAATAAAAAATTAACAGCTTATTTTAATTAGTTAGGTCATTCTATTGCTTGCTATCCCTGTATCATTGCCTCGAGAGTTATGTCTTTATATATATTGCCTCATAGGTTTTTTCTTGGTTACATCCATTGTTTTATTTAATTAAGGAGCTATTTAGATGCATATATGCAGATTAATCAATGCAGATTATAATATTTCTCTTTTTGTTATCATCGGTGGTCGGAGCAAGCCAATCTTTTTGTCTTATCTGTTTGGCGCAGGAATATTGCAAGTGTTACTGAAGGAGACCTAACTCAACATTGTTCATTTTACCACACAGTCTAGAAGCTTTAATAGTTACTAGATGAACGCACAACTATGGGAGGCTTTTACACAAAAAAAAATTGGCCTCAATTGGTAAGAATTGTTTAATATATTATTATTTTTCTGTTTTGCTTGCTCTGTGAAAACACATTGTTATACATATGTTATTGAGTGCGCTTAAAATCGATAAATTGCAATATTACCCGTGGCTTTGAAAACTAACTGCGAGTACGAATTGTACTATATAGCTGCGTCTATAGCAATATTACCTGCGCCTTTAAAACTTTTATATATATTATAAAAAATACAAAGAAAATTCACTAATTTCCTTATAACTTCAGCCAAAAGGGGTTCATTACAAAAGAATGATTTCAACATATTTTGAATACATTTTGGTAAAGAAAGTAAATAATATATTGCATGCTTGCTGTTCCTAATTATTTAAAAATTAAAATAATTTCACATATTATATTTCATGTATATATTATATCAAATGAAGAATAATTAATATTGAAATATATAATTCATCTAAAATATTTTAAATACAAGAAAGTAAACCAAAAACATCTGTCTATAGTTTGTGAAAATTTTAACAAGAGTGAATACGGTATAATCTGGTATAATTTATAATCATATACAATACAAAATATATAATTTAATGGAATAAATTGGTGTTGTAGACCACAATCTAACACGTTATAAAAGCATTAACAAAAAGAGACGTTTGAGTATTGTGCTCTGAACGGCATCTTACCAAGTGGATCATTCTGATAGGACTATTTTTCAGACTTTGGGGGTAATTTTAATGCGTTGAAGTTACACACTGACAAAAAATGGTGCTGTTCTTTTTTCTGAACCGAACTTTGCGACCATAGTAGATCCAAATTCAAATAGGAAATTGATCATCCCGTTAGACATTGGAGTGATGTTCCACACTACTTTAAGCTTTTGGCATCATTCAAACAAACAAGAAGGGTTTCTGGGATATTCTTGGAGCAGAGCTTTGTGACCATAGTAGATAGTGTTTTTGTGCTATTTGGTATAGTAACGGAAGACGTTATTATAGACTTTAGGAAAAATGCAAACCAAGTAGGTAAAATATGATTAAATAGAAATATATCCACATTTGAGAAATAATACCTTTAGAATAATGCTGTCGTTTTGCTTTTCTTTTTCTTTGAATAAAACATATTGTTTGCACTTTAAAAATATTTACAAAGATGTGTTCTGATTTGGTTTTTTGTTTTATTTCACTGAATTGCCATAGTCTAAACATTTAATTATATGAATCCAATTATTGCTAATTGTGGTTTACGAAATGTGAAGTGTAAACATGGCATTAATTGGTTTCAAAAAGTTCATCTTAGTATGCAAGATATAGTCGCTATTCTTATCTGGATTTTAAAGCGACAGTCTCTTATGATGTAGCTTTTAATAATATATTTCATTAAAAATGAATAATTTTATTTTATTTAAAAATCGCCGATTTGAAATATTTGCAAAATGGGATCATGCGCTAATTATTAAATAATTATTTTGTTGGAAGGATAAATAATTAAATACGAGAAAAAAAAAAACAAAAAAAATATAATTGGATATGAAAACGAAGTTATAGTCTATAAATAAATACTATTTTAAATCCATATACATTATATATTACAATATAAATATTATGTTAGAGAAAAAAAATAAATACAAATTGTAAGCAAGTTTTTATTAATGATTTTAATAAACATTGAAATATTTATTTTATATATATTTAATAAATAAGTTTAAACTTTATTATATATTATGATAAGTTGTTTTTTTTAGTTGAGTGGCAAGTTTAAAATTTTATATTCTATAATTGAAATCGTCGCCAGATCTTTAATCTAAGAAATTCTATATTAGCTAAGAAATAATATTATTAATATTAGTTATGAATTTTTTACTTCGTAAATCTATTCTAGTGCCTGTTTGGTATATTTTATCTTACGCAATTCACTTCACGGTTTAATCTTAATTTAAGTTGTTCAGATATTGATTGTAGCTAAGACTTGTGGACCTCCAATTACTACTTGAGTTTCATGCCAAAAATTTTTTTGAGATTTTTTGTTGATTGTTGATTTTTTATTTGAATGATGTTTTTGGCATATATATTAAATGTTGATTGTAGATTAATTGTAATTTAATTGTTTTATAATTTAAATTTAATTTAAGTAATTTTTTAATTTAAGCAATTCAAATGCAAATGCAGAAAGAATTTTTGCTGAATTATAGCAAAATTGATTTAAGCTTTTTGGTTTTAAGATATTTTCTTAAATTTATTTTAAATTCTTTTTAGTGATAATTTTCACTGTACTTATTTATTTTGATATAATTATTTAAGTTATTAATATAATTTTTAAATCGACTGATTTATTTCTAGTTGTTTTGTAAATTTTTCATTTAAAATTATCATCCGCATTGCCGAGTTGTAGTGCGTAGCTCACCCCCGTCGTACATATTTAAATTATGTTGACGCGAATACTCATTTACCACATATTGACCTAAGGATTGTTGTAGGTTCGATTGTGGTTTTATTTATTTTAATAATTGTTGATTGTAGTTTCATGTTTAAAATTAAGTATTATAATAATGTAACATATGAGTTTTCGTTCACAAACTTTTTAATTCAAAATGTGAAAATATTGACTTACCTTCATCAATACTTCTAGAAGCCTCTTCCATATCTGCTTTAGCATATCGCACTATCACATACATCAGTGGCATCAACTCGTAAGGATATCCAAATTTCTGTAATAACTTTTCTGAGTTTCCGATAAGGATATCTCGTGCTGGAAGAGAAAAAAATAAAGATTAATGAAATTGTTAATTCTTCTCAAACTGAACTTATACTTAAAAATTATTTATTTATTTTTAAATACTTCTAAAAATAAAGCCATTCTAAAAGTTTTGATTTAGGAATAAAATTTTGTGACAAATTCAAATCAAAAATAAATAATTTAATGTTTTTTTGGAATATTTTTTAACAGAAATATCGTACACTTTCGCTTAATCAGAGGCGTGTGGTAAATAATTTTTTTTTAATACTTGAAAAAATAATACCATAATAAACATTTAAATTTTTTTGTAGAAAGTAATGATATGTCAGAATTAGAATTTTTTAATATATACAATTTATTTGCACTATTCTAAGAAAAAATTCTTGCATAGAAAATTTATATTTATAGAATATAAAAACTCTATATGTGAATCATTTTGAATAAGCTGTTTAGACTACATAAAACATAGAACATATAGAATACATAGAATATGAATATCGAGTAATATTTACTATAAATAAGGTTTTAAAACTTAAATATAGAAAATTTAAGAATTCAATAACAAAACATAGATTAGAACTTTTCATTTACAAGACAGGTACATTCAAATCTAAACTAATTGGTAGTGATATTTTGTACTAGTTTATTTACGTAACAACTAAATGTGAGACCAAATGTAAATCATCAGTTAATAAGGTACCAATATGTGTAGAATACTGCACCCCGTAAATATCATTTTAAGTAACATTATTTGGTATGATTGCTCATACATTAAGGATTCTGCATACAGTTATGCATACAGTTATGGTCACAACAAATTTAAAGTTTTTATTGTTTTCAATGTAATTAAGAAATTTAATATTGAGCACAAGGCAGATAATTTGATTTGATAAATGTGAGGATATTACAAAAAAGTATTAATATAGTAGCAATAGCACGAAAATAAAAATTGAAATTTAACAGTCTACATATCAAGACCTCACGGTTATGACCACAAAGACCATTCAACTTTATAAAATGGCCTTGATATATCACTTCTCAAACTACAACCGCCAAGTACTTGTAGTCTGACAACTTTGAAACGCAGCCTCACGTTTAAAGTCACTAATCTAATATCACATTTAATTTTCATTGTTCAAATTTCCAATTTTGTTAGCGTAATGTACTACTAAAGTAATGTACTATAACAGCAAACATTTTTTTTTATAATATTTAATTAATTGTATTTTTGGCTGATCATACAACGCTGTTTTGAGTATGCTCAACAGTGATCTTTAAAGTATTTCTTATATTTAATTTTTTCTAAATCTTTTTTTAAGATTGCTTAGTAGCAAGGCTTAAACTCGCGCCCTCTCAAATTTTAAGCTCAGAGTCAGCGTTCATAAACTAACACAACCAAAGTAAAAAATTTCAAGTTATGTTATAACAAATCCAGTTGCTGTGCCATTTTTAGAATAAACGTGTAAACCACAGCTATGTTAATGTATTTAATTATTGTAAATTGTTGTTTCTCGTATATACGGATAATTAAGTCTATTTAGAAGACTACTGATGAGGAATATTTGGTAGTATGAAAAACAGCTGTATGATCTAAAAATTAGATTATATCCAAATCTACAGCTTCTTAATAAAAAATAAATATATATGAAAAAAGCTGTTAACTATTCTAAAGTGTATATAAATTATAAAACTTTTTGGGTTTTATGAGTGAAGCATGTTTTCAGTTAAAATTATTTTTGGCACCCTGTATCTTGGTTTATTTGAAATTCGATTCGTACCGTTTCCATACAATATTTTTCATTGCATAAATCAACACAACTGCTGTTTAATTTATGAAAATTTCAAAACAAAAATCTTTTATATAATATATAGCTTATAATATATATCAATATATTAATTATACCGTTAAATCATATAAATTCTATTATTGTTATTCCATATTGAACACAATTTTGTGTTCTGATAACAACTTACCATTTGTTTATATACATTCCTGTGGTGTTATATCTTGATTTCAACAAATGTATATAAACAAATATATGTAATCATATTGACTTTAACTGCATGCATAATGTAACTACCATAAAAATTTGTAAGTCATCGGTTTTCTGTTAAAAATAAATTTTGAACTTATTTGCATAAATGTAACATGTAGGCGGATTACTGCCATTATATTTGGGTAAGCATTTTATTTTAAAATGATTTTAATTAAAATACATATCCGCATATGCATAATATACATATGAAACATACATTTACGTATACAAATTACATAAAGTATATATGCATATCTATAGTTAATGTATTTGTTATGATTGTTGGAATTTGGACGCTATCCTTGCACTCATTGTTTTCTTTATTTAAATTTTAATGTATTCATATTTTATGGACTTTTATACATATATAATTTATTCATATGACTTTTGTTTTCAAAATTTTAACACCATTCATAAATTATAATTTTATTCATTTTCCGTGATTATTTAATACTTTATAAAAATAATTTATATATAAAGTTTAAAATTATCGACAAATAAATACTTAACAATAACATATGTATATAGCAAACTTTGCTATGCTAACGGATGGAATAGCTAGTATTATACCAAGAAGGTCATTTTAAACATTACCATCATAATTTAAAAAGGTTCTTGCCAAGAAGAAGAATGTTGACTTAGATAATGACTTCGAAGAATTGTAAAATGAAAACGGCAAACTTGTTAATATTATAAACTTGTTAATATGAATATTTATTTTTTATTAGAAATTAATGATTTTCATATTTTTTATTGGTCAATGTAGTCGCTATAGATTATTTATATCTGAAGTAAATTTTTATTTTTTCATGTGGGAAAATGTTATCCTCTTTACAATTTTCAAAAATGAAAATATCTTTTTTTGTATTTTTACTTTATATCTTAAAAATCTTTAAATATAAGCCAAATTCAAAATTTCTTATGTTTCACAGCTAATTGATGGAATGCGATTTCAGCCGGAAGTCTTTCACCCCCTGATCGGTGATATCTGCTATTCGTTCCTATCAGGTGATTTTAATTAGTTTAAGTCTCACATTTTGGATCTTGATGCTTTCTACATACCGCAAAAAAATAAAATAAAAAAATTAGCACTTCAGTAAAGGACATACTCATTATAATTTCTTTAAGGTGGTATTAAAAACTTCTTTCTCCCAAGATGCTGTACATCGTTTTTATATTTTTTGTTAACAAGCTACTGTTTTTTCTTTAGAATATACTTATTATACATTCTTTTCAAAGGGGATATTTAAACAATTTCTTCAAAGTACATACTATCATAAAGACTTCTTTTGCCAATAATGGTGGCATATCCTCTTCATGTTCCTTTTAGATAAACTACCTTTTTTCACGAAGATATAATCATTGTACATTCTTCATGAAAGATTTAATTCAATTTTTTTTACACACGTGTTTTTTAAAATCTTCTTTCTGTCAAGGTGAAGTATACAGTTTTCATAATTTTTCTTAACAAGCTACTGTCTTTTCGTTAGAATATGCTCATTATACATTCAACAAGAGGAATATTTATCACAGTTTCTTTGCAGTACATAACTATCTCAAAGGCTTCCTTCTCATATGGTGGCGCGCATCCTCTTAATGTTCCTTTTGGATAAATTACTGTTTTTCATAAATATGTAGTCATTGCACATTCTTCACGGAAGATTTAATTCGATTTTTTTTAAACACATAAGTATTTTAAAAACTTCTTTCTTTCACAGCGAAGTACATCATCTTCATCTTTCTGCTTTATCGACCATTGTTTAACGTCAGATACATTTTTTAAACTAAAAAGTTTTATTTGACTTTAACTAGTGAGTAAATTTTCTTAAGCATTTTCATTTTATTGCTGTGCTATTGTAAACTGTTTTATACATTAAAATATTTATTTTTTCAGTTAACAGTAGATTGAGATAATATTATGGGGATCTAATCAATGCCATTAAGCCACTGTTGCTATATTTAGCAAATTACCAATGTTCGCGGTTGGACAAAGTGTCTTACCTCTTCGGCTCACATAATTACAGAAATATGTTGCACAGCTTCTAATTATATGTTGCTAGCTCAGAGAATTGCAAATATATAATTAATGTACAAAAATAGCTGATCATATATTCAGAAGAGTAAAGAAACACAACACCTGTGCTTTGGATCTGCTATTTTCAATATAATATTAATTCATTTCAATTTTTTACCTTTATAGTTCACAGACTTTTAATAAATTTGCAAGTAAATTAATTTTTCTTACAGGGTCAGTTGTTAGTTTTTGTGTCTTGTTTCAAAAAAGTTATTATGAGTTACTTAAAATATTAATAAATCCTTATATATTCCAAATATATCAATAATATATATAATATAATATATAGGCTCATATTATATGAGTCTAAAAATAAAAACTATAATAATTTATAAACAATTAAAAATGGCTTTTCTATTTTGCAACAATTCTTCTTTGTGATCTATATACACTATTACCATAATAATTTTTTCTTTCCGCTTAAAAGATTCCCAAATATGTTTTTGAACGCATCAACGGTTTCCTTTGTCCATGCAGTCTATGCAGTTTTATTTATTTGCGGGAAGAATGAGAAGCCGTTGGTTACCAAATCAGAAGTGTGCGGTGCATAACCTACTAATATGATGTTTGTATAATCAAAACCCCAACAGTCATTCAGTTTTGTCGATGAAAATGTGATGAGCTTAATAAAGTGATTACTCAATGATAGAGTTCGCTTTATCGTTTCAAGGAATTATCTGTACTTGGCGATTAGTTTTTCTGAAACCTCCATATATTTTCGACAAATAAATTGTGGCGCAATACTCTAAATTAATCCTTTTACATTGCTTAATGGCACTGTTGACACATGATCAATTTATTGATTTAATACCCTACAACCGAAGAACTTGGAATAGAAAAAGCTTTTATTGAATTCGACTCATAAAGTCGACTACTGTGTAGTTTTAGGCACCATGATTTGT